AAACATATCATCATCCTCACCAAAATAATAAAGAAAACCAAACAAATTACTACTCCCGTAATTCATGTCAAGGGAGATTAAAAAAGGCTGGGAAACACTCTCTCGATTTGGGACCACAAAAAGAAAATAAACAAGAATTTGTCCTAACAAATCTAAAGAAAAACCACTGAACCCACCCACACAGCAACAAGTAAACGACTTTTCTCAAAACCCTAGGTTCTAAACTCCCAATAAAATCCAGTACCCAAGCCATGCCGGGGACTACCTAGATGGGAATTTCCCAAATTCCTTCTATCTTGCTCCACTGAGCCCCCGGGAATCCCGGATTATAAAATCACTTAAAAATATCAGGGAATCTGTCTCATGTCCCCCCCTTTTGTACAAGAGAGTGGGCCCCTGTCCTTTGCATACTATCTCATTGCTTTTTTTAAAATCACTAGAAGTAGCACCTTCCCGAAACTCTCAAGATGGCAAGGGTTCACCCAATACATAAAGGTGGTGACCCCAAGATTTTTAAACAACTTAGGCCCAATATCAAACTTCCATTTCTTTCCAAAATCTTTGAGAAACTCGTGCCAGGGGCTATATTCATTTTTAGTCTAAAATTTTTCAACCCTCCAATTTTTATTCAGGGAAAAAAAAAAGACTAACAATGCAATTATAAAAAACTAGATCTGCTTTACACAGCATTGGAAAAAAAGGAATTCCACTAGGAATTTTTTTTTACCTAAGAAAAACTTTTGGGCACGTAGACCACGGCATCCACTCCAAAACTTTTCCCTTATGGTATAAGAGGCCATGCGCTTACATATTTCAAATCTTACCCTTTCTAATAGGTATCAGTAGTCACCATTAAAGAACAGCATCAAAAACACAGCCACTTTTTACTGGAGTTCCGCAGGGAAGTGTCCTTGTCCCCCGCTCTTTCCCCACTACCTCATGATCTTCCAAACGTATTTGCACCTGAAACCCCTTCTCTTTGCTGACGACACATTATGTCATCTCTCACCCTAACTTGCAACCCTCAAAACTATTGTTAATGGGAGCTGATCAAAAATCGACTTGGATGACAGCCAATAAACTTTAACTTAAAGTTGACAAAAAACCCACTCATTATGTTTGTAGCGAGAGGAGTGCGCAAATTAACATTTAAAATCGGCAACATTAATTACCAGGCATAAAGAGGGCAATTCCTAGGCCTTACCTCGACAACAAACCCGAAAATTCGCACCATATCCAACCTAACCAAAAAAAACCCCCCTTTGGGGTCCTTCCAAGATACGATCTACGTGCCGCAAAATGCCCTTTCACACTATACCATTCACTTAATATCCATACCTCACTATGCTTCTGTGCTTGGGGTTCAACTGCAGCAAAAACCAAAACCCAAAAATAACCCAACAAAAAGCCGCAGTAAGAATAATCACTAAATCCCCTCCCCCGGAAAAACCCCCCCCCCCCACTTCATAATCTAAATTATCCCGTTTTGCTCCACACTTTCTACTGTGCAATCTAATTACAGGACCTTAAATTCCAATATTAACCTTGACCTAAAACGTTTTCTTGTAGTTGTGACAGAACCCACAGGCACAACACAGACACAAAATCTCTAGAATTCCCCGTGCCCACTAAAACCTTTAAAAAATTCAATGTATGTCAAAGGGCCCCAAAATCTGGAACACCCCACCTGAAATTCCAAAAACGCGACACATTCATCACCTTCAAAATCCATCAGAAAAAATCTTATCTCCCCGATACCCCTGTCAACTAATAATACGAAAACCCCCTGGTGGTTCACACTTAACTCACTACCCTTTGACCATAAACAGAAATTTTCAATCTCAAATTTAAAAAAATGAATCTTAACTATATAAGTTGGCCCCCGTGATCTCCAATAGAAACTATTATAGTGCCAAAACAAAAGCATTCACATTGCTAAAAACACAATAGTATTTTTGTCATTTGGGCCCTAATACCCAAATTTTCTCATAATTTTGTACATTTTAAAAACCCAAGATTTAAAATAATCTGCCTGAAATGCCTACCATGCTAGGCGTTCTAGTGGACACCGTAATTATTATTTTTTCTACTTAAACCACACAAACCAAATTCGTAAACCCCGCATTGAATACTTATGAGAATAAAGTTTGAATTGAATTGAATTGAATTTGAAAGATCAACCCAAAAAAGTTTCAGGTGTACTCATAAATTTGGAAAAAATATGCCCAATTAAATATAGCTAAAGGTCAGGCTCTGATGTGGCAAATGAATGTATCAATTTTAAAAACTTTTTCCTTTTCACCAAAGGAAAAATACAAAATCCCAGAAATCTAAAAAATTTTATTGGTCAGAACAAAAATAAATTACACAAGCTCACTCCTAGTGACATGGTTCTCAAAAAATAGACAGGTTGAGCCCAAAAAGTCACTGGGCGATCCTTTCCAAGAATTCTAAAAGGAAAAATCAGCAAACCCAAAATTTAGCTGTTTAAAAGATCATACAAAATTTTTTCAGTGGATGAGTGGAAAAAAAGTAAATAAATCCCGTTTCAAGTGGGGAAAAGTCCTCAATTTTTAAATTTTAGCTAACCCGTCTAACATCATATGGGGCTATAAACCAAAAAGTATTTTCTTAGAAGCCACTTTTAAAGATATTCAATGACCCTTTGCATGTTTTTAAAGGGGGGGATGTTACCCAAAGAAATTTTTTAACATTTTCCTAAAATATTTTAAGGGGAACTGTATGACCCTTGTAGGTTTGTCTTAGTTTGATTTCAATAATAATTTTAGTATAGACCCTGATGAAAAATACAGTGGACCCCCGTTTAACGTCACCTCCCAATGTGCCAATTATGAAAGTGACTTAGTAAGTGCGTTTGGCGTTATGTTTGGGGTCTGAAATGGACTAATCTCTCACAAATTCCTTTGGGAACAAATTCGGTCAGTCTGGCACCGAAATATTCTGAAATAAAAAAAATATCGTTAACCGGGGTCCATGTTTATTATTAGTTTTAAGCCCTTGATAGAGTTCAGAGTGTAAAGCATGGGCGCACATGGAAAAAAAATTTTTATGGGTCGAGGCAAGTTGCCCCAACAGGAAACAAAAAGTTCGCAAAAATTTGGGAAAAATCAGAATGGAGTCAGTATTAGAACCCTCTACCAACACAATAAAACACAGAAAAAACGCAATAAAAATAGGTTAAATACGGACAAATGTAAGTTTTCCAATGACACTATTATTGAAAAGGGAGATTCTATTAGTATGTAGGTAAGGATCTAAACCAAGGAAAAGAAAAACATCTATTTTGTACAAAATAGTTAAGTAATAGATCTTGCCCAAGTGAAGAGGAATATTTTTAGCTAGTTCCCAGAAAATTTAAGCCAGTTCACAATTAGGCTAATAGAATTATCGGCCTCACACCAAGAAGTAACATAATAGAAATCTTCAAGGTGTATCATTGGTATGACCACATTTAGACTAGGTTGCTCACTTCTGGTCTCCCATATTAAAGAATGGACATAAATACGCCAAAAATTAAAGAGGAGATGAAGGTATTTGAATTTACAATTTATGTTAAGACTTAGAATTAAGGGGAATCTGCCCGAAGTGTACAAAGGGAAAAGCATAAATAACGTGATTTAAATAACATGCAAAAAAAATATCTAATCAAGACAAGGCTCTAAATAATGGATTCAATTTGGACAATTTTAGATTTAGAAAGGGTATAGGGAAGTATACTCTTTGGCATTGAGCTGTAGGTGAGGGGTCCACACTCCCAAATAGCTTCATTGAAGCGAGAACTATGGGTAGCTTTATACTGGTTTGAAGGGTATGTACTTGTGAGTGAATTAGACCTGCCTAGCATAGGCCAATTCACTATTCTTATGTTATTCCAAGTCCTGATGTTAAAATTATCTAAGCTTTTCATAATTCGTGTCGAAGAAAAATGACATGCACACAGAGGCAATGTGGGGTCCTTTAAAAGAATTTTTGATCATAAAGAAGCCATCTAAGCAGGGATGGATTAAGACAGGGGACTTTTGGGCTGCAGCCCATGGGCCTCTGCCAGCTGGAAGGCCTCCAGAAATTAAGTGAAAAGTGTTCACAGTTTACTGCTTTTAAGTTATAATTATGGTATATTATTACATCAATATATGATGAACTGTTGACTGCTGTGATTATTTTTTTTTCCTTTTGAAAATATCACTGGGGGCCTCACAGTACCTGTAGCCCAAGGGGCCCTTCAAAATCTTAATCTGGCTCTGCTTCTAAGATGTGTATTCAGTTGCTGTTGCAACATTCTGATTTAATTGCAAAATGAGAGTCTGTACTTTCAACACTAGCTTGCACTGGTCAACCCAAAACGTCGGGGGTGTGTCGTCTGATGGGAAAAGTACAACTTGTTTTTCTTGCTTTTGAATCTCAGCACCAATTCTTTAAATAGTAATACTTCCTAAACAAATCCTCACAACAGTGCAGACTACATGTGTAAGTTTTAGTTACTGCAGCTCACACTAATGTATAATGATTTCAAGAATGTAACCTAAAGGAAATATTTTTTTATTGTATACATTATATAAATGTATAGTATGTATATAAGTACTTATTTACTTAAATAGTAATTTACTAGATTAATGACCACTAGGCTATGCTAACATTTGAAATCTTGTTTTCTAATAAGATGCTTTGCAAATGAAAAGTTTCCAAGTAGCAAGTACCCGCCTTTTAAACACTTGGGAGTTTTAAAGACCCTTCACAAGTTTTTCAAATCAGTTCCTGGTTAGCTGGGCTGTGGTTTATAGCATGGACTGCATGCGGCTAGTACCAACAATCAAGTTCAGGCCAGCCACTGGGGACTCAGGGATGTTGACACTTGAAATCAACTCCAAGTAGCCCAGAAAAAAAAACAGGAGCATCTAATAATGGGCTCTTACATGCATCTGTGAATGAAAATAGGAAACAAGACTACACCAGCTGGAACTGTGTGAGGAAGAGCCAGGTAAGGCTATATCGACTCATGAAATGGAACACCATGGTGTGGAAATGTTGGGTAAAAAGAGTATGCATATTAAAGTTAAAAAAAATATTGGCTTTACACTGCATAAAAGAAAGAAAATTGATTTGCTTACCTTCTCTGTTAGATATTCACGACAATCGCCATTTTCAAATGACAAATAAAACTTGTAGTCACGAAGAGGTAAACAATCCTTCATAAAGTGCCCTGGGCACTTCAAGGTACCGCAGCCTCCATATTCGTCTATTTCTATGTACTTCTTCAGTTCTCTCACGTAGTCCCACCTTTTATTTTGGCTCCCACAGTTTGATCCTAATATTGCTACAGTTTTTGGTTTTAGTTTAAAATAATCAATATAATGATATGAGGCAGCCTCTTCTGGTTTCATCTCCACTGTTCGACCATATGGTACTGGGATGTCCTGTCCATCCTGTAGCTCATTGACCAATTGAAGTAGCCATTATATTTTGCCATATCCTTCACTTTAGCTACCATAAAAGTATTATATGGACTCTCATCCGTTAACCAGATCCACCGCTGATTTATTTTAGTCCTGTTTGGAAAAGTATTGGGTCCCTTGATGCGATGCAGGTGGATTAGAATAGCATCCGCTGTCCTGGCTGCCTCATCTTCGTAAGTCAGTTTGCAGTTTTGTGCAGAACATTTTCGAAATGGGTCTTTATTTAGCTTACCATACTCCTTGAGTAAACGTTTTTCAATCTGAGGTCCAGTTTTCCAAACCAAGATTGTAAAAGTTCTATCTTTCACTGTACTATCTCCTCATTTAAATAAAGTCTTCTTCCCAACACAGATAATTTTTTAATATCATATTCACTTAAATTTCTCCAGTTGTGACCACTTGGCAAAGAAAGTTTATTATAATCTTTAAAATTCTGTCGTAAAGACACAGCTACTGCAGGGTTTCTGTTATTAACATTCGTCTCAGGCTCAACTGAATTCACCTCATTTGCGGCATTAGCATCCAGAAAATGACCTCGTTTATTATCTTTCTCAGCAGCCTCCATATCCAATACCTCTCGTGCAGAGTTTTCTTCCTCATGCACCCCAAAACTAAGTTCCTTCTTGACCACGGGTGCAGCAGGTGTTAGCTGCTCATTCACAGACAACACCTGAGGAAGGACCCCTTTTTGATGGCCAGCCAAGACCCAGTTTTGTATTTCTAAGAGACGTTCTTCAGGGGACAGGACTTGTTGAGATTCTCTAGAATCAAGGGTTTCCCGACCAAGGTGATCATGCAGATGGCTGTCATGAGACGATGCAAACAGCAGATTAAATGCAGCTAGGGCGCAGGCAAGGAACATGAGCAACCACAGCAGCTTCAACACCCGCATCATTCGCCACGTGAGCATTGTATAACAACAGTGCACTCTCCTGGAAGAAGAAAGAAATCTGCAACATTATGAACAAATTTTGAACCAGTTTTCAAGTCTTGTATAAATCACAAAAGATTATTTAACTCTTAAATGGTCGAATATATTGAAAAAAAAATACATTGTAGTTTTTTTTTTATAGAAAAACAAAGCACATTTTTTAAGTGTTTTAGAATAAAAAAAATTTAGGGTCAGCACTTACCGAGATATGAGGCCGCGAAGTTGGCACTTGGTGATCACCTGATAGCAACATGGAGCACTGCCGCTTGCACAGATTCTACATATTTACCGTTTTCTTCCAATTTTTTTTAATTTTCTTGGTTTTCATGATATGATAATTATGTTTTATAGTAAATCTGTTGATTTCAATGCCAATTGTTGTTTATACACCAATATTATATACGAAAATATTATCATATTGTCATAAACACACATGTACACACTGACAGATGATTTTGCACACCTGGCTCAATCACATTCTATTATCTACAACTATATACAAATATTTACATGTCCCACTTATGTTTCTAGAATTCCACGATTGTATGATACTCCATGAAGCATGGATTCATACAGAGTGCCACCCCACACTGGTGACAAATGAATCATGTGACCTTCCGCTGTTGGGGTCGTTTTTTGGTGGTAGCACACACAACACACTTTTTCTGGGAATTCTTCTTCTTTGGGGTAGGTGGTATTGGTACCAGATAGTGACAGTTAGGAGTGATTCGGTTTGGCACTTTCCCCACTGGCTGTGATTATGGGACAAGTCGCTGTTGAGGGGCAGGTACAGGTGTGGTACTGTAGAAAATACTGTATATTTTCCAAAAATACAGTGTATTTTGTATGTAAATTGATGGCATATATTGTAGGTAATAAAAATTAATTTGTAAATAAATAAAGAACCAGCGATGGGTGAGCGTCGCCGGGGAAGAGTCGCCATTGTTCTGAATTGACCGAGGCAAACGTTAGTGAAAATCGGAAGAATTTTCGTCGCTCTAGGGTTATATTGGGCTTAAAACCTCTCAAATAGGAGCTGAAATTGTTGGATTTGCAGTCCTGCATAACATGGGCATTAAGCAGATGGACAGTATAGCTTTGGAACCCAGCTAAGTTGTCTATTTATGTTGAAATTCTGGCCAGTATTTCTTCATATTTTAGGCAGGGTTTTTTTTGTATGACACACCGTAATCTCCAGACAAATTTGGTGATCTTATTATTATAAATTCTCCTTCAATGTATATGTATTCACATTTTAAATTTAATATACAGTCCACATATTTATATTAATGTTTTTACCAGAATTCCTGGTGATGTATATTTCATTTGAAATTAATATAGGACCAGTGACTTGTGGAGAGATAGATTATCGTAGGTATCGACTGAGGACATTTTTGCGACCTAAGTGTCCTAAAATTCCTACTTGTCTCTGTAACCTTGATAAAGAATAATTATCTTTGTTACCATTTACTGGTATGTATCTTTGAGTTACATCCAAGTAAATTTAATTTTCCAAAGGTACCATACTTTCTTGCTATCTGTTTGACAACATTCAGAGAGAATTCTGTAAAATGTTGTTTTCCAGTCTTTATTTCATACATATTGAATGCATTGAGCACTGCAATGTCTACAAGGTGAAAAAAGTTTCATATACCACTTGCGACTCCTACGTACACAGTCAACAAATCTTATCATCATGTCACACTTGTCAACTAGTCGCATATTGTACATATAGTCCATGACAGCAGCTGGCTTTACAATAGGCTCATTGTTGAACCTGCTCCGTCTGTCTGTTTGTACCATCTCGTTTCTGTGGATGGTTGACAGCACCTTCAACACTGCCTCCAGTGAACCTTGGCATATGTTTTCTATTCCTTCTCACTGTTCCACATATATCAGTATTGTTCACACGCGGAAATCAGGGAGCACAGGGCTTGTATACAAGTTGTCTGTGTACAATGTATGGCCCTTGCCAAGGTACGGTTCCCTCATCCTGCAAACAACATCACCAGAAATGCCCAACATCCGTCTGTCATCATCGAGTGTGTTTCTCCCAGTGTATACAATAACATCCAATACAAAGACCACTCTCACAGTCACACATAACAAAAGTTTTATACCAAAGCGATTACGTTTGCTTGGTATATATTGCTTGAATGAGAGCGTCCCTTGAACAGAATCAAGGACTCATCAACAACAATGTTCTTGAAGGGATAAAAGTATGCACTGAATTTCTGCTTCAAATAAATAAACACTTCCTGGATTTTGTATAGGTCATTTCTGTTTGGCATATTTCTGTCTGAGAAGTGCAAACATTTGTTGCACTGAATCTGTTGCACGGAAGGAGGTCACGGAAACTGGAGTACTGATGAAGGGGTCTGTGGACCAGTAATTACGTATACTGTACTTATAGGTATGGGCAAAAGCATGAAGTGGCAAGGAAAATAAATCATTTCACCCACTGTTTGTCTTTCCACCTTGCACCCGTGGCGTTTCTCCAACCTTTTGCGTGTTTCCATGAAAATTTTGGGAAATAATTGTTTGTCGGGTCACTATCAGTTCATTATAGGCTCGTAAAAGTACAATGGAAATAGTCAAACTCTGTAGATCATTCGTTAGGGGACTTGGGGGGTACCACTTCCATCACATCAAAATCACAAGGTGTGGCACGAATATACTTTGTGTCCAGTTCCACTCACGATACATTGCGGGGTGGACCTGTGGATGGGGTGAGGGGAAGCAGGAGGAGGGACAGGAGTGGGGCAGCACATGGTTGAGGGTGCAAGGCGGTCCTTTGTCTGTCCCCCAAACCGCCCCATGTGGTCCGGGCCCGTGCCCCCCACCATACTTCTCCATCCCCCGCATCTACCTTATGATCACTTTCATATCATTTTTAGTTTAATATGACTCAAAAAATGAATGACACGATTGAAAAATAAAACCATCCCCCGCCGGGATTGAACCCGTGGTCATAGAGTCTCAAAACTCCCCCCCGTCGCTTTAGCCCTAGACCAGCTAGCCACAATAAGATTCATCCACTAGGTAATTCTACACCTGGGAAAAGTTAGCCGGGACCTCTTTTGACCACAAATGCAAGTTTTTACAGACGAATCCCCAGCTAGCGTGGCCTGACGAACTCTAGCTCAAGTCCTTCACTGCCTCAACTTTTGACCAAGAAATCGAAATGCACGATTGAAATAAACCATACCCCGGCCGGTTGAACCCCGGTCATAGAGTCTCAAAATCCGCCCGTGCAGTTAGCCACTGACCAGTATCCACAATGAAGATCTTCAATAGGATATTTTAACACCGATAGGAAAGTTAGCACACACCTCTTTGCTCATGATTGTTTACAGACGATTCCAGCTGCGTCCAGTGACCATCTAGTTTCTTTCCCTTCATCTTCCAATATACCATATGTATGACACGAGGAAATAACAACACGGCGGATTAACCCGCTGTTACAATGTAAGCCTTCCAAGGTCGGTTACCTCATAGCCCAAAAAGCACCTCAACAGATTATCCCAACACGTCTGTTTCTACACCATAGTGAAGTTACCCAGGTACTCATTGACCATCAATACAAGACTTTTCAGACGATCCCACATAGAAGAGGTTTAGCTAGAGTTTCGTTTGCACGTTTAATGGAGTTTACGTCCGTTGAAAAATCATGGTGGTCAACAAGTGCCTGTGCTAACTTTAAGGTGTGCAAAATTTCTGTTAGATAAATTTTACCCTGGATTTTGTATGGTCATCGTTTGGCATATTTCTGGAAGGCACATTTGTGCACAATCTGTTGCACGGAACGGAGGTCCAGGATCTGCGGGTTGTGTATGGTTTATTTGTATATCGTGATTATAGGATTTTGGATAAGTTGACGGGCAGTAGAAGGGACATTGACTAGATTTTCGTCACTCCACGCTAGCTGGCGATTCGTCTTAACCTTGCTTTGTTGGTCCAGAGGTGCCTGTGCATAACTTTCCTTTGGTTATAAATTCTTAGGCTTCGAAATACTTATGGGCAAATGGTCAATGTTAACTCAGGTTGGATTTTGGCTTGGACCACTTCAATCCCGGCCGGTTAAGGCTTATGGCAATATGTCTTTACGTTTCTTGAGCCCTTTGTTGACGGCAGTGAAGGGACTGGGGCATGGGGTGTACGGCCACGCTAGGGGAGACGTCTGTAAAAGCATTTGGTTACAGAGGTGCATGTGCTACTTTCCTCTGTCACCAAATACCAGTGGTAAGGCATTGTGGCCAGCGTTTTCTAACGCATCGCTGAGTTCTATTTCACCGTTATCGGCGGTATTTATATGTTTATATGTTTATTCCACCCCATCCGATCCTGGTGGGCGAGTCAAAAGATTACAGAGGTACATAATTGGTCCAGGGACTGGACTCCAAAGCTATGATAGCTGAGCAAGTTACAAAGGTAATGAACTAAATTGGTTACAATAATGAGAATTGACAAAGGTAATGAGCTCTAGGTAGAGTTGGTCACAATCATGACAAGTTTCTAAGGTAATGAATCGTGAACACATGATTACAATCATGAACAATTTTCAGAGTAATGATTAATTAACAAACATTGTAGGGAATTCATCCATTGCCAACAGACGTTGCTTGGTGCGTGTTCCTCCTCGGCAGGACAGCCAGACAGCCATTGCAAACAGCAGCAGGTTGCGCCAGGAACATCTGCTTGCAGGAGCACCATTGACCCTCCCCAAGAGGTCCAAGAGGCCAGCGACTCTGCTAGCAGCCCGAGGGAGAGCCGCCCTGGGGACGTGTCAACGTCCTGGTGGACGCCAAGTTGACTGACGATCCCCGGTCCTTTGTTAAGGTGAAGGCTCGGCAGCTGTCACCTACTTCTGCTGGGAGGGGCTGTTGGTTGTTTCCACCTGGAGCCCTCCCGGGTGCCCAGGCACCCACCGTGTGCATGGATGTTGAAGCTTGAAGAACTGAGTGCACACTGCCTGTGGCACACCTGACAGCTGCCATGCGGTCGAACTCCACGGCGCTGTCCATGCAGTGGCATCCCTGATGTGGGCTGGGAGGGAAAAGTACCCTTACAGTTGTGGTGGGGCTGGGAGTTGGGTGGGTGAGGCGGGGGAGTTGAATGGTTGAGGCACGAGGGTGAACAGTTATGAGAGGGTCATTGTTTATTACACACGGGGCAAGGCCTGGGGAGGGGGGTGATGGGCACTTCCCTATACAATGATTGTGCATTGTTGTTCACACTGTCCTGCCTACAACAAACACAAAAATTCATTCGTTTCCCATGCACATCATGAAATATATGGGCATGTGACTCGCCAAACCAACAATGTTGCTTCATCCCCACCTACACACCCTGCCCCCTCCCCCCGACAGCATGGGGGAAAGGCACGCCTGGTCCCAAACTGGGCACTCTCACCACACCCAACTCTCACAAACTGCACAACACTTCCACGATTTATGCTGAAAGATGCACTGGGATGTCCTCTTACTGCTCTGGAATCTTTTCAAGGCATTCACACAAGAGTCCTGCTCAGTCGTGCCCTGGTCAGCCCCTTGGATCAGGAGCTATCCTTGAAAATCCTGCAGCTAGCCCACCTATGTCTGCCATGTCGCCCTGTTGGGAGC